TTGGGGGCGGCACTGTCCTCTGCTTGCTGCCCACCTTTTGAAAAGCTAGCTCCCTGCTGGGCACTGGCACTGAGTCACGGAAAAGAAACTGTAAACTGGGCTTTCTAGAAGTCAGGGGCTCACACTTGGGACAGCCTGGTATGGAAGGAATGCTGAACCAGCAGTCAGCCTGGCCCAAGCTCAAAGCCACGTCTCCGTCCTTCCCAGTGAGCATGGACAGAGCAAGTCCATGGCACAGGCAGGCTGGCAATAAGGAGGGCACCCCCCAGCACGTCCCTGGGCTCTGACACCAGGATGCCCTGATCCACCTTCCTCTGCGGAGAAAGCGTGTGTGGCTCAGCAAGCCCAGACAGAGCCCCCTCCCCCCGTGGAAGCAACCTGGGCCTGGCCGTGTGTCTGTTCTGACCCTCGTGACAGACTCACAGCCATGGTCCATGCCCAGTGACCCCGCAGACAAGGAAAACAGCCCTGACGCGAGCCCTCTGTATTTCCAGCATCTTCAGAGAGACTACTGATCCAAATTGTTGCTGATGGCAAAGAAGAACAACTTAAAATATATACGAACTTCAAGAAGTGATATAAAGCTAATGTTTTAAACACGCACCCATAGCACCATTCATGAAATGCTGCTAGTTTCAGCAACAAAGTCTGCCCTGGCGTGGCCTGGCAGGCATGGCCATGTTCCTCAAGTCGCTCTGATCCTGTTTCCCAGGGTGCAGAGCTGGTTTCTTTCTTTCTTTCTTTTTTTTTTTTTAAAGATTTTATTTATTTATTTGGGAGAGAAAGGGTGTGAGAGAGAGAAAGAGAAAGAGCAGGAGCAGAGGGAGGATTAGAGGGAGAAGCAGGCTTCCCGCAGAGCAGGGAGCCCGATGTGGGGCTCGATCCCAGGACCCTGGGACCATGACCTGAGCCGAGGGCAGACTCCCAATCGACTGAGCCACCCAGGCGCCCGCAGAGCTGGTTTCTGCCAACACTGGATGTTTTCCGAGGACCCTCCACGTCCTGGCACAAATGCCCGCCGGGAGCCTGGCTCAGGTCCAGCACCGACATGCGCATCCTCTCTTTCTCAAGGAACTCAGGGAGAACAGTGTCAGCAAACTCTCAGAGTGACAGAGGTCAGCCCATTAAGGTGCATGTGGGTGAAGGGACGCTGGCCTCTGGAAGGCAGGTGGCCCGAGGATCGACCCAGGCCTGAGGCGGGAGGGAGGAGGGGGAGAGGGGGGTCCAGGGGCCAGTGGAGCTTGGGGGAGCACGGGAGCACCTCTTACCAGGGACTGGTTTACCCAGTTCACTAGCTGGTCACCTGGCAAGACCCCTGGGAGTGGAGCAGGCTCGGGGAAGAGGGGCAGACGCTGGGGTGGGGGCTGCAGGTTGGCCTGACCATGGGGCTGGGCTGCAGGGGGCCAGCTGGCTGTGCAGCCTGGGGAGGGGAGGGCCCTGGGCTGGCCCTGAGCTGGGGCCAGGTGCGGCGGGTGGGAGGCTATTGCCTTCAAGGCTCCTAGACTTTGCTTATCCCCTTTCTCAGGGGACAGAGTCCCCTGGGGGTGGGGCTCTGCTCTGGTCAAGGACCCAGATTCTGCTGAGAGGGGCGTTTGCTGCCCATCCGCACCCTCTGCTGGAGGGCGGACACCCCAACTTCTGATCTTTGACTCGCTCATTCAGAAGCACACTTGGTTGCTGCCCTGGGGCCCTCAAGTCCCTGGGCAGAGGATGATTCAGGGCATGTCCATGTAAGCAGTGACCCTCCCATGCCCAAGGTGGGGTGGGGCAGGAAACGTCCCCAGAGAGTAGAGGCTCCTCACACAGGGGGACCCCCAAACGGTCTCAGGTCCTACTGTGTGGACCAGATGACTGGTTTCTGATTCTACTATAATCCTGCAAGCCTGCGGGAGGCTGGGGACGAGGTGCGGGGGATACTGGGCAAGCTGCCCGGAGTCCCACTGAGTCACGCCCTGCGTGCTGAGCCCCGGAGTGCCTGGCTGCGTTCCAGCGGCTGTTCCGACGTGCTTGATGGCAGCCCTTAGTGGAAGAGTTTGTACGGTGCTCTGGAGCACACACACCTGTGTGCAGACCCCTGCAGGACCGGTGAGGCCACCAGCTTCCCCTCACCCTGTCCCACGCCCTCACCAGGGGCTCCTGGGCCACTAAGCGTTGGGACCTGCAGTGGTGTGCGGGAGGAGCTCTTCAGGAGGGCCTGATCCACGAGCTGGACGCGGCATTTGGAGGCCCCATCCCGCTCCCCTGCCCGGTGGGAGATGTTCCAAGGACTCAGCCTGGGGAGAGTGGGTGCTGTTGAGACCACCTGGACAGTAGACGTGACTGAACCCCGTGAAGGCTTCTATATAAACTTCTAAGATCCTGGCAGGCAGGCGCAGGGAGCTTTGCGTCTTGAGGTCGCCCACGACAAGCCTTGTCCGTAAATTCCCTTGCTTGTTAAGACAGCCACCTGCCAATCTGGAGGCGCCTGCCTCTTTCTTCAGTTGCTCCTGGCCCTCTGTATATGGGGCCCCGTTTTGAATTTCACCCAGGAAGCTCCTGGGGTTTACAAACCAACAAATGGCAAAGCATGGATGAAGACATAGTGAATGTGCTCCATTAAATTCTTGCCCCTGTTTTCAGAGGGTGAGCAGAGCATGGTGGGAGCCTTTATTTATCAGGGCTCATAGCCACAGATGTTGGTTAGCCTCCCCTGGGACCTGAAGGGGGCCGGCAGGGCTGTGCCCAGTGGTGAGAACCATGCACAGCCTTGCCCTGCAGAGCCCCGGGGACTGTCAGCTTATATGTCCACTCTGCCAGGCCACAGTGCCCAGGGGCGTGGTCAAACATCATCTGAATGCCGCTGTGAAGGTGTTTTTAGGTGAGATTAATCTCGATGTGAGCAGACTCTGAGCCTCCTCCATCATGTGTGGGCCACATCCAATCAGTTGAAGGTGTCAAAAGAAAAGTCTGAGGGCCGCCAAGGAGGGGTTCTCCTCCGAGGGCCTCCGGCTGCGAGCGGCAGCCTCAGCTCTACCTGAGTCTCCAGCCCCACAAGCCCGTGAGCGAAATGCTGCAAACCTCCTGTCTCCCCCAGTCTCCCCTGCACGTACATCCTGTGGGTTCCATCTCCATTTCATGGAGAACGCTGACTACTACTTCCCAGATCCCACACCCACTTTCCTCATCTACACACGTGGTCTGGAGGGTAAGGCCCCCGGCGGAGCGCGTGGGAGCTGCCTGCGTCCTCCTACGCTCGTCCTGGACCCCGGGGCCCAGCTGCCCTGTCTGCTCGGCTGCCCCGGGATGCCTTTTCCTTCCCCTCTCTCCCCACTGGCCATGCACCTGCTGCCGGAAGGCCACTGCTCCCGTCACTCTGACGCTTTCCTCTGTTCCTCTGTCCACCTGTGGTCCCTTGCTGGGGCCCCCGGGGCAGCCTGCTCACCTGACAGCCTCCATCCTCCCTTCACCTCTCCACACAGGGGCCTGGGCATCCGGACACTATGATGGGACAACATGAGGGCCCCACTGTCCCTCGGCCCCTCTAACCCTGGCTGTGGTGGGCCGCCCTCCCCTTCCCCCCTGCCCTCCCCCTGCCCTCTCCTGGTTTGGAATTCCCCAAGCCCCCCACCAGGACCTTCAGTCCCAGCGTCCCTCCACCTGCAAAGTGCTACCTCAGACCCCGGCTCCTTCCCACCACCTGCCCCGACCCCGAGACGCCCGGGCTGATGGCCACACAGACCGTTCTGCCACCGAATCTGTGGGTGTCCTCACGCTGTGACCCTCGCCTCTCGGGGCAGGTCCCCAGGGCCCTGCAGCCGTGCGAGACCAGAAATGCCGAGGTGCTCTCCTCAGAGCACCAGCCCCACCGTGGCACCACCTTTCGCTGTGACGCAGTGAGGGTCTCTGTCTGGGGCTTCCTGGACGGGAGCAGAGTGGAAGCCTGTGTGTCCTGCCATCAGCCTGACTCACAGCACACAGCAGGTGCCCCACGAACAGTTGGTCAAAGAAAGAACTGATTTCAGTGATTTCAACAGTGCCTCCCTCACCCCCCATTAAGCCTCTTCCTGGGGGCCACGCGGCAGTCCCAGCCAGGCCAGCGGGCCAGGGGAACCTGGGAGAACAGGGCCTGTCCCCGGTGGCCTCGAGCTGGCGCGGCAGGCGCAGGGCAGGGTGAGCCAGGCCTCGGGGCTCAGCGGGCTCATCTAAGCAGACTCTCAGCCTCCTTCTTGGGGGTCCCACGGTGACCGTTGGGGTCACGCCTGTGCTGTCCCGAGAGCAGGATTTGGTGTCCTGGGTGTCATGGACACTCCATAAACATCCACTCTTTCCTCCTCCATTAAACTGCCGGTGGAAGTAACCCGGGTCTTGACCCCCTCGCGGATCACTGTGCTACTTCTCAACATCGCAGAGTGTGGGCCATGCCCGGGGAGCCAGCCCTCACCGGCGCCGCCACCCCCCGTCCCTCCAAGAGCTCCCAGAGGAGGGGGTGTTGAGGCAGGGTCCTGGCCAGGTGCCATCGGCAGGACAGTGAGAGCCCAGGGTCACGCGGGCAGCTGGAGAAGCTCAGGCCAGAATTAAGGGGCCGACACCCCGCAGCACTGAGTGGGTGCTGGTCCGTAGCCTGCCGCAGTCATCGTCGGAACGCCGGTGTTGCAAGTGGGCTGGCTCCTCTGGGACAAGCTCACACCAGCCTCCCGGCCGGGCTCCCCAGCTGCAACACGAGCGGGCACACGGACAGGCCGCCGAGCCGGGGGGTGCAAGGGAAAGGCTGGGAGCGTCACTGGCCGCCTAGGCCCACCATGCTGCCCCTGCCCCCCCACCCCTGCCCTGGGTGCCCAGGGTCACATCACGTGTTCAACGGGATGGCAGAAGAGCTAAGACCAGGTGACCATAGCACCGCTGTGGTGAGAGCTCTGCTCGACAACAGGTGTTGTCTGACAGTTCCCAGGCCTGGGGTCGGGCCCCGAGAGTGACCAGAGCTGCTCTTCAAAGCCCCGTCCTTTTAAAAACAGAACGCACAATTCCTGTCCCGTACAAAGTGCACGGTCTGAGCCTTAGGATGGTACTTCAAACAAAAATTTAAGCAAGGGATTCTGGGTGGGAAAGATCTCTGGAAACCACTGTCTTAAGAATCCTGAGACTTCAAAACAAACGTGGACACCTCCTACAAGTAAAGAAATGGTTCTGTCACTCGCTAAACAAAGAAAGCATTTGTACAAGAGCAGACAAGCTGCACTGTAATTAACACCTCCCCACCCGGGTTCTCAGCCCCATGCACCCATGTGAGACCTCTTGCCGGGATTAAGTAAAGGAACACGAAATGTGCCAGAAAAGCTGCGGATTTACTCACATCCTATATGTTATCCGTAGACGGTTTAACGCACTGCAAGAGCAAAATGCCTCCGTTAGCCAAAGCTGGCCATCAAAGCTCCTCAGAATTTACAGCAACTTCTGGAAGAAACAGGATGCAGACCTTCTCCAGGACCGTCAGGAGGGCCGAGTGCATGGCTGAGCAGATGGGACAAAACAGACAGCTCGGGGCAGACCAGTCTGGCTATGGGGGGCCAGGTAAGCAGGCAGTGCCCCCCGGCCTGGACAGCTGGACACCCCCCCACCCCCACGGCCACGGCCACGGCCTGCTGAAAAGCACACCAGAGTGCTAGGGTTCCTGCCTTCCTTGGTCTTCTAAGGGCTGAGGGTTTCCTGAGGTTGGATTCCACATCTCTTGTTCACTGCAGGGGTTTGGTGCCTCCTGAGCCCCAAGAGGATTTCACTGTGTTTAACCAAGCCAGGCCTGCAGGTGCCCTGGGGCCCCACGATCCCGGTCACCAGAAAATCTGCACCGCCCGAAAGAATGAGCTGGACACAACTTACAGAGCCTCCTCTTGTCGGCACACACCTGCTCCCAAAGGTAAACAATCAACCCAGGCCCTGGGCTGACCTTCCTCCGGGCTTCCTCCTGCCTGTCTCTTCTAAGACAGGCTGGATCCGGGTGGGCGGGTGTGGGACCCAGTTCACTTTCTGCTGACCCTTAATTGTTGGGGGCTGGGGTCCCACAGAAAAGGGGGATGGGCCTGTGTCGGGCCACCCGGCTGGCAGCAACCTTCCCACAGTTTGCTTCAAAGGTCCGCTCAGGTGGGAACATGCCTGCACTCACGCACTGACTCCTCGGACCGCGACCCCCGTGGTCACCTCTGACTCCACACTCACAGACCCACCCCACCTCCCCAACCACTGTCTGCTCACTTTCGCCCTAGCCTTATTTCCAGGAGCTTTAGAGGGCCTCCTGGAACAAAGGAAACATCCCCCACTTTGTGATTAAATGCTAAGATGTCATTTTGTCACCTCCCACCCCCACACACCCCTACACAAACTACCCAAACCACCTAAGCCTGCACACCCGGCAGTGGGTCCTGCACCACTGGGGTCTGTACCCCTCCCTCCCCCACCCTTAGGAGCAGGGAGGAGACCCCCTCCTGTGTTTCCCCTCCATGCTTTCCACCAAGGCCACAACAAGGCTGCCCGCCCGGAAGACCCAAATCCCCGCCAGCCTCCTCCAAGTCTGTTTAGGCACTTTTGACTCCAGCCGCTCCAAACAAGCTCAGGAAACCTAAATTTCAGGCCACACCAGGGTCGAAGGTGGGGCCAGGAGACTGAAGACCCCACGCACCCTGCGCACCTGCCTCGGGGTCCAGGAGGAAAGGGCGGACGGGTGCAGAGGGAAAGAGGCCGAGGGGGAGAGGGATGGTGGGAGAGGCAGGGTGGTGGGCCAAAGGGCCTGGGAGCAGGGACCCCCATCCAGCCTCTAAGTCAGAAGCCACCGAGGGGGCAACAGGGGGCCCAGGGGAGGGCCCTGGGCCCTCTGCTCTGGACTTCGGGGCGCAAACTCCCAAAGGCGGACGGCGCGGCGAGGTGACAGCCCTTCCTGCCGGGTGCCCGCGGCCCCCAGTTGCCCGTCCGTGGGAGGGGCCACGGGGAGGGGACGGACGCGCTCACCTGCGGGGGGTCGCAGTCCTGGTGCGGGTCGGGCTCACGGTTCCGGGTCGGGGTCGGGGAATGGGCGGGGGTCAGGCTCCGGGTCTGGAGTGGGGTCCGGGGTAGGGTCCGGCTCTGGGTCGGGGTCTGGGTCGGGGTCTGGGTCCGGGTCGGGGTCTGGCTCCGGCTCCGGGTCCGGGTCCGGGTCGGGGTCAGGGTCGGGATCGGGGTCCGGATCGGGGTTGGGATCCAGGTCGGGATCCGAGTGCAGCAGCGTGAACGCAGCCGCCGCTTTTCCCGATCTCCGCGGAGCCGGGGAGAGGCGGCGGTTGGGGGAGATCGGAGGGGGCGCGTCCGAACTGCGGATTGGCCGGCGCTTCGCCCC